AAAACTTTCGAATTTATTAATAGGATCTGCGCCACAGGATCTGTGATGATATACAAATTTGTCCAATCAAAAATAGGAAGATCGCCACCCAATCAGAGAGTGGGGGGTAAATTAGTAAAACCAGAATCTAAAAGGTTTGCGATTGGCATTGCAGGATGAAATGCAAAATTGAACTGTTTATCAATTAAATCAAGAACTTTAAGTTTAAAATCTAATTCTAAATCACACAAATTAACTGATTCTCAAATTATTTGCCATTTATAAAGAGCAGATGAAAGTAAAGATTCATCTGATTCAAATAAATGTATAAGTTTGATGAAAGGCATTAAAAAAGATTCTAATTTTTTAAATTCTTCCTACAATGAATCATTTAATATCTGTTCTTTGAGATTATATAACCATTTTTTGCTAACTTCAGGTTGTCTAATAATCATTTGAATTCCTAATTTGCATTGAAGAACTGATTGAATTGCATTTAAACAAGTTCCCCAATATGTATTGACAGGTTGAACCAAAGTAATTGTATCTGGCTGACTTAATAAAATTGATTCTGCAGCATGATGTCCTCTAAAAAAGCCAATAATTAGTTTTATACAATTGATTAATTCTTCTACCCAATCAAGTTTAAATATATCTTTGATTAAAAGATTCCCAATATGTGTGTTGTAGCCTAAACAAATTAATCATGGGTAATCTTTATTTAGCAACTTCCAAGCTGCTTGCATATTATTTGCATTATCTGTTACAATTCCAGCAAACATAAAAGAACCAACATCTTCAATTGTTTTTTTTTACTCATTATAGATATACTCTGCAGTATGAGATTCAGAGCCAGAATACTTTGCATCATAAAAGAATGATCTAGGAAGCCAAAGAATAAAATTTATAAGACTCTCGTCGGATATTTGACCACCCATCCAAGACCAATGTAATATTTGTTGCCTCTTCTAAAATTCTAGCTAAATTTTGTTGACCAACTTCATATTCAGAATCTAGCAAATTGCTAGCCAAATTGTGCTGATTAGAACTATTATAAAACGGGGTTGCATTACTTTTAATATAAAGATACACAGCATCCATAAATTCTTCCCAAAATGGAGTTTCAATAGCCGTAAAAGGAATACTGGCTGAATGGAAAAATTTTGCTAATTTACGATCTACATCTAATTTGGTTATTGTTATCTCATCTTCGTTTGAACCGGAAGCTTGAATATCAGCATTATTTAATAAATTTTTCATATTTGTTGGAAACTTTTTGCATCTATATAAGTGATCCTTTAATCGAGCGACTAAATCTACAAAGTCCTCTCCGCAGTAGTTACACTTTTGACGAGGCATAGTTCGACCAAATTTGTCAGTTTCCGTAACTTTTGTAAAGTTCAAGCAAATTTCTTTTAATGGAGGTCTCCCACGGTGCATGATTGTTTATAATTTTATATTTTAAAAAAGGGATAATAATAAAATTCTATTTTGACGTAATTAATTAATTCGTAATTCGTCAAAAATAGAAAGAATATGCATAATGTAAATCAGGGCAAATTATTTGATATTACATACGAAATTCATTTTTTCTTTCAATTTTCAAGTTTCACAATTTGCTTTTTTATTTTAAACAGCACACAAATTGTATAACAACATTAACAAATAAAATGCCAGTAAATCTTTTGTCATAAGAACAAAATTTACTATTATTTGATCGATTTCACGCTATTTACATTCCGGCTCAGGATTATGGGCCAGAAAAGTTGGATAAAAAAAAGGTTGAGTAAATCATACAGAGAAGCTACAAAAACTCTATTTAGCTATTTAATGTTTTTTTTTGCTTGAAACTGTTGCTTTGGCTTCTTTCGCTGCTTCCTTTTTATATAGAGATGAATACCGACCAATCCAGTTTTCAATTGTTTTAAGCTGTGGGATCTCTTCAGCCGCTAACTCCTATTTGTACTCTTTGTTGCAGATCTTGAAGCATTTCTTTTGCCGTATATCTTTCACTTTTATCTTCATCACCAGCATGAAAGAGAGTTTTCAATATTTCTTTTACAACTTCTGTCATACGTTTACCTCTTCCTTTTTTTCCGTCTTCTTGATTTTCTTTCAAACCTCATCCAGAACAAAAATAATTTTTGTCCTTTAGTTTTTCCTGCTGAATTTTCATATTTTCGTCCTTCTGTCTTTTTGATTTTGCAGATTCTCTAACGTTAATTTCTATATGCGTTTCATATGTATTTTTTATTTCTATAAATTAATGAAAAGATTAATTGTATATAACAAAGAAACCAAATATTGTATATATGTACCTTTTATCATATTTGATGTTTCTTGTTGAATATTCGCTTTCAATAGACTAATTAAGCTGGTTCTATTTTCTTCAGTATCATAACTCAAATTTCTCCAGTCAAGTTCTTCTTTGATTTTTGATATAGACAACCTAGTTGGATCGGGGTCTATAATAAAGGATGATTGTTTCAAGTAGATATTTTTATTGCACACTTAAGGTTATTATTTTATTACTTGCGAATATAATCATAATTATGTTATACTTGTAAGCATCAGATTTTGAATTAGGGAAGTATCGTTTATTACGTAATTTCTTTCTATTAGAAGGTTAGACCCCTTCTCTTTAGGTGATTGAAGTGGCTACCAATCATAATTTTTATATATAACATATAGACGTGATATGACTGCTAACCTCTCCATCCCTCTAAAATTACGTAATAAATAGCACTCCTCTTATGCAACAATGAATATTACAATTTGTTTTAGCCAATACAAATAATTGACCATAATGTGTTATTATAGCACACTATCACCAATAATTTATTCAAATAGTATTATTAATTATTGTATATTAATATTACAATTATGAAATATGCAATTATAAATTGCTTACTATGATTACATCAGAATGTATTAAATCATTAAAAAACAGTTTTAAATCAAACAAACATGTTTTAAAACATTCCGTTTTAAAACATTTTCCATCCCTAGGCGAAACCTTGTTTCGACTTTCGCCAAAAATAAAATTAAAATGGCGAAATGGCGAAACTGTTAAAGGTTGCGAAACTAAAAAAAGATAGCAAAACTAGTGAAAGACAGTAAAATTAACAAAAAGCAAGAATAACAAGGTAATTAAAGATAATTAAACCTTTTTTTATAATTATATATATATATAATTAGGCTTCACATAGCGCGAAACTTTTATTTATCGTGCATCAATTTGATTGGCTAATTTTGTCATAAAAAATAAAAATTTAAGACTTTTTCATATTATAAAAATTAGATATTGTGAAATAATTTTTATGGATCTATGTGCAAAACATTGTGCTGAACATTTTAATTAGAAGTGAAAAGATTGGTTAACTTAATAAAATTTTGTGCAATCAACAAAAATAAGAAAAAAAATGAAAAATCCTTTTAAGTAAAAATGTTCAACGCAAAATTTTGTATATATTTGTTGGAAAATTTAAATCAATTTTAGATCTATTTTAAGCTAACCTAACCTTAAAAAATTCGTGTAATGATGATGAGATGTACTGTATATATTCAATAATTTGATTTATAAAGTCTTAGAGGATTTGATCTTCGCCGAGTTCTGACTTTCCTCAGGATTTCAACTTTACCAGGGTTTCACCGGAGTTTCGCCGTTTCATCAGAGTTTTGCCGTTTCGCCAGGGTTTCGCCTGGTTTCGTCTTTCCCGGGTTTTGTTTCGTCTTTCGCCATTTGCCAAAAATTGTTTCGCCTGCCAACACTAATCACGTCTACTTACACAGCCTTCACCCATTTTACCGTTATTAATTCCATCATGTCTAAAATTTTAACGCGGTAATGGATTCAATTACTTTATTTTTTAGTTCGTATGTTGGGAACTAGTGGAGTGAGCTGGAGTGAGCGCAATGCCGTAATTGGTCGTAATTTTTTACAAAAAAAACTCGATTATATCGCGTTCCAGTGATACAAATTGGATGGTTTTGGTGCCACTCGAACCGTCTCGATGAGTCGATTCGAAAGGTACCAAAATAATCCAATTCGAATCTCTAGATTACAAGGTATTCACAAATAATGATTCGATGAATTACGGCAAACGTGCCGTAAATCGTTAAATAGTTTTTTTCGAGAATATATTGCGATCCAGTGATTCGAATTGAATGATTTTGGTACCATTCGATTCATCACATCGTGACGAATCGAATGATATCAAATTCATCCAAATTTGGATTATTGAATCACGATATAATTGGGTATTTGTAAAAAAAAATTACGACCAATTACGGCATTGCGCCCACACCATTATTGGGAACACGGGCGGCTTATTGTGGGTACAATTTTATAATTTCTTCTCCCCTTATTTACTCAGAATTTTCAAGCACTCTATATTTGGTTTATATTGTAATGTATTATTGTTATTATTTTTTTTCTCCGTTTCGTATCAAACTTCACACATTTTTTTTTACTAAATATGTTTATTTGTAATATCCGTTATAATAGAATCAAGTCTTGATCGTGCTTGATAGTTACGTGGATATAATTTAAATTTAAAATTAATTAACATTTTAGTTAGATTAAAACACATAATGCAAATATAAATTCTTTCAATAGTTAAGTATGAACATATATATTCGTAAATAGAAATCACCAAACTAAAATTTTTTAATATCATAAAGATGAAAAAAATTGATTGGATATTAAAAATTTCAAAAATTATATTATTTCAAACCTCCCATGGGCACGCATTCAAAAGTTTATTTTAGATGCGTATTAAGAATTGTTTGTTTGTAACAATATGCAGTACACACGAAAATAAATTGGGCTATCAATTATTTGTAACCAATTAATTATGCTGCATGTAATTTAGTCATCTGTTACATAAAATGACTAAATATGATACAGTGTTACGTTTTAAATATGTAACATTAATGCTTTTCATAACAGATATTTTTTGTCTCTTGGTTTTAAAATGTCAAATAATTTAACTACAGAACATCCAAATAAAATTGTCAGTACATCAAACGAAGTTACCAAAATAATTGACGATTTTTATCAATTAGATTTAAAAGATGATTGTTCTTTTAGCGAAATTGTTAAAGAATTATATAATAAATATAATGAAGAATATATAATATATAACGATTTGAATATAATCATTAACTCATTGGATCAAATTTTAGCAAAAGAGAATCAAAATCCTGATAGTATTATTAATTGGTGTTTAAATAATCAAAATGATCCTATAACCCAAATCGTTCTTGCAAGGTGTTATCGCTTTGGTAAATGGATTGAAAAGAATGGACATAAAGCATTTATTCATTATCAAAAGTCTGCTGATATGAAATTTGCTGATGGAGTATATGGTGTTGCTGTTTGTTATGAATACGGCATTGGTATTGATAAAGATGAAAGTAAAGCTCTTATTAATTATCAAAAAGCTGCTGATATGGGTCATATGGATGGAATTTCTGCTGTTGGTAATTTTTTTGAATACGGAACTGGGGTTGAAAAAGATGAATATAAGGCATTTAGTTATTATCAAAAATCTGCTGACATGGGTTCTGTTGCTGGGATATTTAGTATTGGATATTGTTATCTAAATGGAATTGGAGTTGAACAGGATGAAAATAAGGCATTCATTTATTATCAGAAGTCGGCTGACATGGGTTATGTTAATGGAACATATAATGTTGGATATTGTTATTTTAATGGAATTGGTGTTGAAAAGGATGAAGATAATGCATTCATTTATTTTCAGAAATCTGCAGATAAGGGTAATGTTAATGGAACTTTTTATGTTGGATATTGTTATCATTACGGATTTGGTGTTGAAATTAGTGAACATAAAGCATTTAAATATTATCAAAAATCTGCTGACATGGGCCTTGATCATGGAATATATTATGTTGGATTATGTTATTATGACGGAATTGGAGTCGAAAAGGATAAACATAAAGCATTTATCTATTATCAAAAAGCTGCTAATATGGGTTATACTGAAGCAATAAATGTGGTTGGTTATTGTTATCTCTATGGAAATGGAATTGAGATAGACGAATATAAGGCTTTTATTTATCATAAAAAATTAGCTGAAATGTAACAAACTGATTATTTGTAACTTTAACAGAAATTAGAAGTAATACTTAATAAAAAAGTATTATAGTAATAATACGCCGTAGAATGTGAATTTGAAATGCTTATATAGTTTTAAGTTCCCTGAAAAAAAAAAAAAACTATATAAAAAGATAATTAAAGAAAATAATTTAAAAATCTTAAATCTTTAAAGATTAGTCTTTACAAAATTATACAAGGAATCGAGTAATAAATTCAAATCCAAATACTACTTTTACTTCTTATCCAAAATAATAATCCTGTTATCCTTCGGATCATGGTATTCTTATTTTTCCTGCCAAATAAACTGTTATTAGATGCTACACATCCAATAACTATTATTATATATTTTATATATATTGTAGTAGTTATAATTGAATATAAATTTTTAGGAAAATTATATTTATAACACCGTGTTATATAACATCTTATATAGAATTTTTCAAAAATCTTAAATATTTTAAAATTTTACTAGGGTAACCCTTGTTGTGTAACTAAGAAAAATGCTCCTCTTGCAATTTTACACTAGACTAACCCTAAACCTAACTTAAACCTAACCCTAACTCTAAATTTTAGTTGCAGCAACATAGATTAAATAATAGAGTGTTTTTTTTTTTTTTTTTTTAATGTTTAAGGTGAGACCATGCTCTTATCTTTATTAGTCTTAATGAAAACTTTTTACA